CACTGTTCATTTTTATTCAGCCTGGGACCCTACCCTATGACATGGTGTCACTCACATTCAGTTAAAGCTCTCTGGGAACACCCCAACCAACATGCCCAGGGGTGAGTCTCCTAGGAGACTCCAAATTCAATTGAGATGACAGTGAAGATTAGTGTCAGGGCAATTGTCACTTTTCCTCTTCAGATTCTCAAGTTTGGAAGCATAATCATTAAAAGACTCCTTCCCAGTGTCTGGTGGGGGCAGCTTCTCTTCATTAATGCCTCATTTCTCCCGGGATGTTAAGAAATCTCAGAGACTTTCCTCATTTGCATAGAACCTCTAAATATTCCCTTAAGCTGACAGGATGGCTCAGTGGGCAAAGGCACTCACCACCAAGCTCAAGCTCAAAGATCTGAGTTCGATCCCTGGGACCCACAAAAGGTAAAAAGAGAGCAGGGACTCCTGTAAAATGTCCTCTGACCTCCACATACAGGCTGCAGGCCCCTCTTCCCCACTAAGTAAATGGGGGGGGGCGTTTAAAAACAGCATGTGTTCTCACAATTCAGGTAATATAGGAAAACAGTGGAACATTGAAGTAATGCACAATCTTCAACCCAGAGAGACTAGTAGGGATATTTGTAATCATTAATTAAATCAGGGCTAATATTGGGGGAACATGTGGTGTCTTGGTGCCCCATTAGTCAGAATTCATTCTAAGATGGGGTAACTGTCATCTACAAATATCCCTTTATTCACCAACTTTGGAAACTCAGCCTGCCAGCCATGGCTGGTTGCCTGCCAGCCCTGGGATCTCCTCTTTGACTTCTCTACCTGCCTCTGGAGGAGCCTGTAGTCCCAGGTAGAGGAGCCCAGTGCAGAACACAGTGCACCCAAGGTCCTACCTTCAGCACAACCTCCCCATGTCTGCTGAGTGTGTGTGTGTTGATCTTTTGGTCTTGTTAATCCACAATTTCCCTGGGCAAGAACACCAGAGTTAGGGGTTTATGGTCCCACCTTCAGGCAGCCCACATCTAAGTCTTGTCAACAGAAGTTCAAGGTCATCCTCAGCTACATAGTGACCTCAAGACCAGCCTGAGATATATGAGACCCTGTGTCAACTAATGGAAAAGAAAGGTTGATATACTTGAGTTAAAATGCAAATTACAACTGGACTTACAAGTCAAACTGATTTGGATTCAAATCCTAGATCCATGACTTCCCAATTGTATGATTTCTGGTTAAGTTCTTTGCTTCTCTTAGTTCTTATTCCAAATGGGGTTGCTTGACTCTCTGGGTCATGGCAGAGACGGGGATGGTTAGGTGTCAGGTAACCGAAAAACCGAAGTTGCTTCTCCCAAGTGAGACTCAGCGCACCACTTCCGCTCCCCTGGGCCCAATGTTGTTTTGTCCTCATGTTTACATTTTTCATGTTTGTCTGCTTTCAACAAAATGCCACGTCACCAAGATTCTGGTATTAGATTGTGTTGTGGTGATATGGGTTAAGCTTCCCAGGGGGAGCACAGCATTGCCAAGTCTTCCCCTGCATGCCATCTGGAGCCTTGTAGAGCCATTTCACTTCCTATTTGCAGAAGTGCCCTGTTTCCAGGCCAACCTATGGTAGACAATGCCAGTGTTTCTTTTGGTCTTAGAAATTTGCTATAGCCAGTTCTGAACCACCATCCTATAGCCATTCTGTTCTCAGGCTGTGACTTGCTTTTCTGTGTGCGCAGTCATGCTGCTGTTGTCATGGTCTTTGGGTTGGTTAGAATCATATTCGTGGACAATTAAAAGCCTTCTCAATGGCTTTAGCAGCAGCAGGTTTCTGAAGCCTAGTGTGGTCTTAGACCAGGCAGGGCTGGGTTCCTTTGTCCCTGTGCCAACCCTACTTTCTCAGTTCCAACTTGCAAAGGACACACCAACTCCTTGACCTTATATTGCCATTGAAGCAATGTTTATAGAAAAGCAAGTGCTAGTGATTTGATAGTCTGGGTCACTTACCTGTATGGCTTTCCCTTTGACACCAATTCCTGCCCTTTCGTTTAATGTGCAGCTATGCCAGCTTTTAGAGACTTTGAAAACTCTTTCTCTCAGCCCCACAGTGCATCATAATCCCCTTTGAATGATGTCAAGGGACCAAGACCCACAACTCTGCCATGTGCCTTCTAAGCATACCACACACAGGGAGGTGACTCAAATACTTGCTGCCCTCAGAGGAGGACTGCTTTGAGGAACAAGAAGGCCCCTGCGTGCTACCACCCAAACCGGTAATGCCAGCAAGGCTGGTACCTCTTGTGCCTTTCTACCCTCCCAGTGGTTGTATTACTAAATAGGGGGTCGCTTTTTGGTTTGGGGTTGGTTTTTTTGTTTGTTTGTTTTGTTTTTTCAAGAAACAGGGTTTCTCTGTATAAGTCCTAGCTCCTACCTGTCCTGGAACTCACTCCATGGAGCAGGACTCAGTGGAGAACATATACGAGGAAGATACCACAGTGAGACAGGCGCCCAGAGCACTCAGTGGGCATGGATTTTTAAACAACCTCTATGCCTAGTGACCTCCCCCACACTCACAACCCAGCACCTTCTAACGCACAAACCCCTTAATGACCGACTACATCCAAACATGCTCTCCACTATGAATGCTTCCTCAGAGTCTAGCTAACGTTGGTGCTATGCTTGAACAGCCGCAAATGTTAGACATGGACTTATTTTCTTTGTATAGTTGCCTGGCCTCAGGGATGCTGTTACTGTAATGAGGATACAATACACTGACTATTGGTTGAGAATTCTAAATCTTGGTGGATTAAACACTAGCAACAATTTCAGGGCCCTGACATTCTGTTCCTGCCTCTTCTCTAAACAGACTCATTGGCAATGTGCCATTTATTCATATTACTTATTCATATATTGGTTAAACCTACCAACATCTGATTTGGTAATTATTTTCTAAGGCAAGGTCTTGCTGTACCGCAAAACTCCAGCATCCGTTTCCCAAGCGCTGGTATTACACCACCAGGCCCAGACAACAATATTGTTTTTTTTAACTTTTGTGTGTGTATGATAGAAGTCAATGCTGGTTTTAAAATCACTTTTAAGCCAAGTCTTCAAAAAGCCTGTCTCCATTAGGAAAAACTTCTCAGGTGCCTGACACTGGGAAAAATGCCCAGGACTTCTAAAGCATCTTAACCACCCCTGCAGCCTTGTGTTGGGGAAAAATAAGGTATAAAGCAGGGATAGAGATGCAGGAGGATAAGAACGAATGTCCCCTCTTCAAGAACCAAAGTTGGCCTGAAAGTAGAATAGGGATTGGGGAGGGTGGTCAGGTGTGGAAAGAGTGTAGGTTAGATTTGATCAGCGTACACTGTATGCATGTATGGAAAGGGCACATTGAACCTCACTAATATGTACAGTTAGCAGATGTTAATTAAGGATTTAAAGTAGGTCTCTTGGAAAAAGAGATTCTATGCGGTAAACAGGCTTCTCTGGATACATCACCAACCTCTCTAATTATTACAGTGTAATGCAATTGGGAAATTTCAAGTTGATTTGAAAAATCCACTGAGAGGTAAAAGAGCTGGCAGGAGCCCGAGGGTGAGCTGAACTTGACTCTAGAAGGAAAAGAGAGGCCTCTCATACACTTTCCCCAACGCTCTCTTCTCTTCCCTCCTGGTTCCTTTTGAATAGTCCCAGTTTTGTTTTGACTGAGGTCTCTTGGTGCTCTGGGCTATTTTGGTGTATGTAACTCAGGCATTAAGATGGATGGTTCTTGGCGGGGTGTTGGTGGCACACGCCTTTAATCCCAGCACTCGGGAGGCAGAGGCAGATGGATCTCTGTGAGTTCGAGGCCAGCCTGGTCTCCAGAGGGAGTGCCAGGATAGGCTCCAAAGCTACACAGAGAAACCCTATCTCAAAAAACCAAAAAAAAAGAAAAAAAGAAAAAAAAAGAAAAAAGAAACACCAAGATGGATGGTTCTTGAGTCTGAGGATTCCAGCCCGGGTCTCTTGTACCTTGCACAAGTTACTTCACATCTGAGTATATATTTTCTTGTGAGGAAAATAGTCACAGTCCTTTGAAGGCCTTCCTTGAGGATGCTGTTAGTTACAGTGTACTACCTGGTACATATTACATAGACTCACAAATAAACTCATATTTCTCCTTTCTCAAGCATGCCTCTATGGCACAGAGCACGCCCACACACATTATTGCCTCGATGAACCCTACGGAAGGGTATTATAATCAATATTCAGAGCTGAGAAATAACTTGCCCAGGACAACAGGGGTCTCCATCGAAGGTTTGCCTGCTACCTCAAGATGCCGTATTCAAATTAGAGACACTGCTCTCTTTATGTAGACAACCTAATCACGGTGTACTCTAATCATGACTGTACTCTAGAAACGGCAGGCCTCTCTCCAACCTCAGTCTCCACACACTCAACTGCCCTCCCAGTTATGGACTTGCTCACATGAATGTTTAATGTACTGGTTTGCTATGGCAATCAAAACTAAGGCAAGAAACAACACGGTTTAAGGTGAGCATGAAAATAGAAAAGTTCTCAATACTGAGAAGGGAGAGCTTTTAAAAGGATCACAGTCAGGTTTGGGTGGGGCTGGAAGAAGCCAGTTGGATGACAAGGCTGCAAAAACCAGAAAGCTGTTTGCAGAATGACCTAGTCTGCTTCTCTGGTGTTGTGATAACACACTGACCAAAAGCAGCTTGGGGGAAGAGCAGTTTATTTAGCTTACAGGCTGTACCCCATCATGGAGGAAAGCTAAGACAGGAACTCAAGACAGGAATCTAGATGCAGGAACTGAAGCAGAAATCATAGAGGAACCCTGCTTACTGACTTGCTTCCAAAGGCTCAGGTTCAGCCACCTTTTTATACAGCCCAGGTCCATCTGCCTGGGGAGGGCCTGCCTTTTGGAGGCAATCTGGATCCAAACTGTAGCAATAGCTAATGCCTGGAAATGTGTGTAAACTTGCAATATGAAATCTCTCTCCAAAACTCTTTTCAGATTCCCATCTATCATGACGACCATCCGACTCCGAGAATTTGTGGAGCGTCGCCCAGTGCTTCCACCTACGTAAGTCTCTCCAGAAACCACCAGGGCTGAGGAAGGTACAGACCCTGCCCCTCTCCAAACTCCACCCCAGGTGAAAGGAGGAGGGAGAGCAATCAAGACTGGGTTCTGCATTCATTCATTCCTTCCTCCCCTCAGATCCTTGGTCCTTCTGTGAGTGGGGAAGATCACTTTGTCTACTGTAGGCTCATCTCCTAGGAAAAATGGAAACAAATTTTTGTTGGCAGTTGGTCTGGGAGCCCTTCTGCCTATCTCTGTACCCACGTCCCCCACTTCACAGCGCTTCAGTTCCCTTGTCACAACTTCCAGTTTTTATGTCTTACAATCCATTTCCTACCCATCTCATCACTAGAATAATGAGCTAACAGGCAGCTCTTAACTGCATGTCAGCATTAGCCTTAGTATATATTATTTTATTTAACCTTCATAACATCTGTGAGTTCCAGATAAGGAAGCTGAGGTACAATGTGGGTAAGTGACTGTCCCAATAGCTCACAGGTTACAGCTGGCAGAGAGGGAACTTGAACCTCCTGGTCTGACTTCACTATGGTTTGCTGTTTGGGTTGGTCCCACTCTAGCATGGAACTTCCTTGCCCATCTCTGAAAATCGCTTCCATAACCTCTGCCTGATGGTGGTGACTAAGCAGAGTAGGTCCTCTGTGCACTGTTGTTGAGTAAACCAGAACAAATGAGAAAAAGTATTTAGTGGTGGTTTGGCTCTGGCCCCTGACAGAACTTAGATCTGCCCTTCTGTTGTTTGTAAAAACATTCCTCCAACTTATCCCTGCATGCCCCGAGGGCTAGACTAGTGAAACGGACTGGCAAACCAGTGTGGGTACCTAATAAAAGTTAAATTAAGGCTCAGGAATAATCTTAGTGACCACATAAGAGTCTCACAAGAAGAATTCAATTAGAGATAAGTGCTAGCCAGTGTCATTCCCAGCTGGACTGGAGGCCTGCTGTTCACTGAATAGGGATGGATGTTCTGTTGGTTTGTGGAGCCCAACATATTCCTGAAAAGATCCCCCAAATGGAGGAAAATCAGTGTTATGTGGGAGAGCAAATACTCAGGGTTTGTGTCAGATTTGATCGCCCTTTTAAAAGGTCAGTTGTGAGGTTAGAGAGATGGCTCTGTGGTTAAGAATGTTCCATGCTCTTCCACAGGACCAGGCTTTAGTTCCCAGCATCCACATGACTATATCAACCTGGCAACCATCTGTAACTCCAGTTCTAGGGAATCTGACGCCCTCTTCTTGTCTCTGTGGGCAGTGTACACACATGGTGCACAGTCATACATGTAGGTGAAAAGTGCCCATACACATAATATAAACCACATCAACAAACAACTGGAGGTGTCACTCGGTGGTAGAACATGCCCAAGGCACCAGATTCAATCCCCAGCACCAAAATAAATAAGTCAGTGTTGTGGTGGTTTGAATGAGAATGCCCCCAGAGGCTAGATGTTTGGGTGCTTCATTCCCAGTTAGTGGAACTGTTTGAGAAGGATTAGGAGGTGTGGTCTTATTGGAGGAGGTATATCACATAGGCTTTGGGGATTAAAAAACCCGTACCTGGATCATTCTCTCTCTCTCCCATTGCCTGTTGCTTCAGGATCAAGATGTAAAGCTCTCATCTACTGCCTCAGTGCCATGTCTGTCTACTTCCCATGATGGTGATTATGAACTAACCCCCTAAAACTATAAGCAACCCCCAATTAAATGCTTTCTTTCATAAGAGTTGCCTTGGTCATGGTGTTTGTAAGACACAAGTTGGTATCATGAGTGAAGTATTGTTGTGATAGGCCTGATCATGTTGTTGTTTGAAGGAATATGGAAGACATTAGGACTTTGAATTAGAAAATCAGTTAAAAACTTTAAGGGGGACTTAAGGGGCCATCTAAGTAGGGGAAGACAATAATGCTGAGGGCAATTTTGACTATGGAGACCCAACTCAACAGCTTTCAAAGGGGAAGAATATTAGTAAGTGGTCTCAGACCATTCTTGTGATATTTTAACAAAGAATCTTGGCTAAATTAAAGAGTTTTGGATTGGTGGTGTTGGCAGAGGAGATTTCAAGACAGCCTAGTGCTGACTGTGTCATGTGGTTATTAATGATCACCCTTCTGCAGATCTACAATTAGAAATAAGCAGCAAGTGGGGCAGAGAGAAATATAAAATGTATAGTCTGGGCCAGATGTTGGTGGCGCACGCCTTTAATCCCAGCACTCAGGAGGCAGAGGCAGGTGGATCTCTGTGAGTTCGAGGCCAGCCTGGTTTACAGAGCGAGTTCCAGGACTAGCTCCAAAACAATACAGAGAAACCCTATCTCAAAAAAAACATTTTAAAAATGTATAGTCTGAGAGAAAAGGAGCACTAGAGAAGGAATGTAATGTTGGAGCCAAGTCCTGTGCCCAAGGAGATAAAAAGTTTAAGGACAGGCCTAATTCAAAATTAATAGAGGGAATGGTGTCCTCAGGGCAAGACCCCACACAGTTGAGCTTCCAATTTGAAAAAAAAGTAAAGAAAAGCTTAAGCATCAAATAAAGTCATCAACAAAGTTTATGAAAATGTAACTCAAGGGGCAGGGGCAGGTTCCAGCCCCAGAAAGCAGAAGAACTTTATAGCTTTGGCCACATGGTTCTAGATTTAGAGTCAAGAAGGATACAAGAATGGGGTTGTGGAATCTTCCTTCATGGTTAAGAAAAGTCCCCAAGGCCAGGTGTGTAGCAGAGAAGTCCCTTTGTGAAGGCCAGAGAGGCCATTGTTGGAAGCTGTGAAGGTAAAGCCTGAATTACATTAGAGAGCCCAAGATGTTGTCCATGTCAGAGTGGTGGGATACCTGCCAAGAAGAGCTGCACGCAGGAAGTGGAACCAGCCCAAGAAACAGAAGCTTGTTACAGTCAACAAACTGGAGGCAGTGAGATATACAAAGTTTCATCTGAACCCTTGGACATCAGACAAGAGATACAGAACTTGGAGTTTGCCCTGCTGGTTTTCAGTCTTGCTTTGATCCAGTATTTCCTTACTATGCCCCATTTCCTCCCTTTTGAGATAGTAATGTATATTCTATGCCATTGTAGTTTGAAGTATCTGATCTGCTTTTGATTTTACAGGAAATTACAAGTAAGAGTTTGCCTTGAGTCTCAGAAGAGGCATGGACTTTGGACTTTGAAATGATGTTGAGACTATGACTCTGGGAACTTTTGAAGTTGGGCTAAATGCATTTTGCTTTATGATATCACCACAATCCTATAGGGGCCAGGGAGTAGATTGAGGTTGTTTGAATAAGAATATCCCCCATAAGCCAGGCAGTTGTGTACGCACCTTTAATCCTAATACTTGGGAGGCAGAGGCAGGTAGATCTCTGGCTTGAAGCCAGCCTGATCTACAGAGTGAGTTCCAGGACAGAGAAACTCTTCTTCAAAAACAAAACAAAAATGCTCCCATAGGCTCAGATGTTTGAATGCTTGACCTCCAGTTAGTGGAACTGTTTGTGGGGGCTAGGAGGTGTGGCCTTGTTGGAGGAAGTATGTCATTGGGAGTGGGCTTTGAGGTTTGAAAAGCTCATACCAGGCCCAGTCTCTCTGTGCTTCCTGCCTGTGGATCAGGATGTAAAGCTCTCAGCTACTGCTCTAGCACCACGCCTGTCTGCAGAGTGAGGCCATGGTCTAACCCTTTTGAACAGTAATCAAGTCCCCAATTAAACACTTTCTTTTATACAAGTTGCCTTGGTGATGGTCATAGCAATAGAACAGTGACTAAGACAGATATCAGTACAGCATCTCTAAAACTTGTCAACACCACTACAAGATCAGCTCATTCTAACTAGAAAGACAGAAACATCTAACAAAGATGGGACCTTTCAGTCTCCAGCTACAAATGTCTACTATTCTTCTTCCATCATTGATGAAAATAGTAGCTATTATTCTCATTTTACTGATGAGCAAGTGGAACTTGCCCTCCCATTCCTTTAGGAAATATGGGACCCGTACATCCTGGAAGGTGCGATGGTCATCTCCCAGCTGTTTTAATCTCATCTTCTATATTAGCTCACATCCTTAGCTGAGACACTTAGCCCCAAGCTTCAGTTCTCCAACAGCATTCACCACTGTTGGTTGTCAGCATGTTGTCTAGATGTGGCTTTCCTTACCTAGAGATGAACCCTGGGTGAGAGTTCAATACCCACCATCAGCACACCCCCTCAGAACACAGCAGACACATCGCAGCTTCCTAACAGCTCTTTTGGTTGAACACAAACCAGCTTCCCTTGTCCCTTTTGTACATTAGGCCTGCTTGCTGACTGCCTAGAAGTGGAAGAATCATACAGTCCAAACAGAAATAATGCCAACTCCACTGGAAAACAAAAGTCATACGTATACTGTAGATGGCTCTGAGTAAGACATGGAATTTAGGGACTGAATTTGCTTCATGGCTCTGATGTTACTAGCTGTGTGGTATTCAGAATGTCCACTTAGCCTCTCTGAGCCTCTTTTTACTGTTCTGAAACAGTTATAAAAACAAGGAGATGATATTTACCTTGCTAGGTGCCTGAGAATTAAACAGGATCTTATATCTCTAAGGCTGGAGGCCCAGCACAGGTGACTCAGATGGGCACAAGATGGTATTCCTTCTGGCAATGGTGCTGTGTGGTCAAAAAGCACTCCTGATCTCACCCATGCATATTGTGTGTCGCCTGTAGCTGAGCCCAGATCCTGCTCTGGTTACAGTTACCCTCCCGGGGGAGAGATCCACTCTTGTATGGATTAAACCTACCCTTTCAGACAGCCAAGCTGTCAGGGACATGCAAGTAATTCAGTAGAACCACAAACAGCTGGCTCACCCACACCGCCTTAGGAGAGCTTTCTACGGCTGACTCAGGAATCGGTAACCTGTAAACAGAAGCCTGGCCTGATACATGGGGCACTCATTGTCCCGTTCATTCATCCTCTCCCTCAAGCTGAACCTTCAGGAGAGAAGCTGGGACCTACGGCAAAGCCTCTGGCCAAGCCATTTCTCCTTATACTAATTAAAAACAAACAAACAAACACAAACAAACAAACAAAAAACCCCAACCAACCAACAAAAAACCTCACCACTTTAATGACTAAATTAGAAGCTTTCTCAGGTTCCAGGTTAAGGTCACATATGAGAACTTGGAAAAATCCCCAGAGTCAGAGGGAGCTGGACATGATAGAGAACACCTAGAACCCAAGCTTTCAAGAGGCAGAGGAGAGGCAGAGGCAGAGGCAGAGGCAGAGGCAGAGGCAGAGGCAGAGGCAGAGGCAGAGGCAGAGGCAGAGGCAGAGGCAGAGGCAGAGGCAGAGGCAGAGGCAGAGGCAGAGGCAGAGGCAGAGGCAGAGGCAGAGGCAGAGGCAGAGGCAGAGGCAGAGGCAGAGGCAGAGGCAGAGGAGAGGCAGAGGAGAGGCAGAGGCAGAGG